TCCGCCAAGTACGAACTCAATATCACGGCCATCATATCCACCACCGAAGTGGATGCGCCCAAGCATATTGCCCATGGCCTCAGCGACAACTTGAGCGTTTGGAAGCCAATCAGCAATGCCCTCCGGGCAGCTGGCGACCTGGTTGTAGCGTGTGACATCGAGGAAGAAGACGGATGTATTGATGAACCGCGACTGCCTAGCGTTGGTGTAATCCTTCCCAAAGTAGAGTCGAAACAACGACGGACCCTTGTCGGGAGCATTGGCAGGGTAGAACTGCTCGCGGATACGTTTAGCAACTTGAGTGGGCAATGCCTGGACACGGTCCATCGCGTACGCAGGCCGCTGAAATGCAGTGAACTCGCCGGGTGCTACGAGAGGGCGGGGACGACGGGTACGGGTGGTGAGGCCCGTTTGGGTAGGGCGAGACTCAGAGGACGGTGCCGTGCATCGCGTGGATCAGAGTAGGCAAGTGGGCGGGGCAGACGGAAGAACGAGTCGGAACTGCAGGTTGCGTAGACGTGCTCCAGAGCTTCGAACTCAGTTGATAATTGTGGCGCGTTTGATTCGTACTGGACCTGCTTGAAAGCGACGCGGGAAGCTACTAGAACGTACACATCTGCGAAACTGCCTCGTCCGATTTGTTGAGGCTCTGGGTTGAAGGCAGTATCAATTTCCTCGTTGGCTTGCATGATGATGGAGAGAGTCAGACCGACGACCCACGGTGTTTGGCTACGGTATTATCCTTCCGGCAACGGCGCCGGCTGTGCCACTGTTATGCACCGACCTTTCGTTCCTCACTATATATCGAATACGCACCGCTTTGCGAAGCTGACATATGGAGTCTTGAAAGTCACCTGGGTTCGCTGGGAAAGATAGCGGTAGGGGTGGAAGTTCACGCGAAGTACAAGGAATTATGACATGTATCATTCTTAGCTATGCCTTTTTAGTCCATGACTCATTGTATTGTCGGACGAAAAGAAATGGCTGGAAGACAAATGGCGGGCTTCAGACCAGTAGAGCGCGCAGGGTGACACTGGAGCATACTATACCATAAAAGCAAGAACAGCTCACAAGGGGAATATTCCTAGTGCCTGCCGTTGGTATCCATTGAAAACTGTACGAATGAAGTTCCGTGAATTATCAAAATTTTCACCTAATATGCATATGCAAAAGAAGATATCCATTGTGAGCCAGCCTCGCTTTCTGCCGCCAGTGTTTCAGTGTGCGCTGGGTGAACTCAGTCGGGGAATAATAATCTCCTTCGGATCTCAGCAGCATACATACAAAAAGTTCAGATGCAACATTCTCAGTTCAAATGAGTCCGAGTTATAGCGAAGTTGAGTGGTCGACTAGATATGTTTCTGGAGTTGTTTAAAATTTTGACCGCTTACGGCGGTCGCCTCTTTGTCAAAACGAGTTCCTTGAAGACTCACAAGGGGCCTTTCCCCTGATTTCAAATAAAAGATAAAACACAAATGGGTTACACGACACCAGGAAAGAACATAAGAAACGTTCAAGCTGTCAACATCTCTGCTGCTTTTGGCGCCGTGCTGAGAGCGGCCCCCGAGATGCCTCGATGAAGTCATTTTTGCGTTCAAAATGGCCGAGCTTTGAAGAAGTGCTTGACCTTAGCTTTCAGTCCTTCGTGCAGTTTCTTGTCAATGGCTCGACCGAGGCAGTGTATATGATCTCAGCACTCAGAATTACAGTTGCATTATGCACCATCAAACTTCAAGTACCATATGTGTATATGGCAAAGTTTCTCTGAACATGATAGCTCTTCGACGGTGGGAGCATCACTGGCAGTAAGAGAAGCGAGATATCGTGTCTTCAAATTTCATGTACAATGACGATTAGTGATAGTGTAGGTGCCAGTTAGAATGGGATGATAAGTGCGGGGTCAATAAAGCTTAGTTGAAACATTAACTAGGGAGCGTGCACAGAGAAGACGGAGAGCAACAAAGCCCCATCAATGCTAAAGCGCCGGACCGGGATTGGCAATGACGTAGATGTACACGTGATTTCTTAAAGGGGAATTCTCGGGAATCACCAACACAGCCACAAAACAAGTCTTGTATACACAGGACTCGGAATAATACCACCCCTCTTCGCCAGATTATGGTGCGGCGTGGTCCGCTACAGAACATCTCATCTCGAGAAGGCATCGACAGGTGCACGTTTGTTGCCATCATGACCTCATTGCTGAATGGTAAGTAGGGCCTTAGCCAAAACCACGGTTAAGGCTCTGGTCAGGTAAGTTTCGTAGGTCAACCACAGGCTGAGTTACCTAATATTTATATTGATAACATTACCGACATTTTAACAGCTTGATCTTGCTGAATGAACCCAGGTCGTGGCATTATTTCAACGTCGTTGTGATAGCGTGCTGATGTAAAAGCACAGATATAATGAAAATGGTCAAGTGCAATAGCATTGCGACGTTCAGCGTTCAGGCCTAGAGGCTGGTAACTTGAAATCATCTGTACATTTCCCGATCAGCATTTGAGTTCAATCCTAACGGCGATATGACATGGGCGGGGCCAATACAGCGCACCCCCAATGAGCATTGCCGATCATCTCTCCAACCTCTCGACTGCAGTGGAATAGCGCCCAAATAGAAGCGAGGCTTTGGGGATCTACTTTGATGTACTTGAACTCTTGGCACAGGTGGTTGGCATTCGTTATGTTTGCTCATGGAGTCTACATTGTCCGAACCACCTCGTCACCTCAGTTGTACATATGATGCACAGTTCTTCAAGTCCTTCACGTTTTCTGCGCCATCTATGGCGACATCAGGTACATTATTCGTTTCGGACGTTTCTTTATCCGTGATAATCTAATCATGTCACCAGTTGCGTTCATCACAGGGTTCGACTCTTGGAGATACTCTCGCAGCGACATACTGTAGTCACGAGAGGGCTGGAGGGCTCGGCAGTCTCATTGTGGGAGCCTCAAACATGGATGCAGTCAACCCCGTTAAGTAAACCGTCTGCTGTATGTCAAACCATTTCCTTAGCAAGCTAACCTATGGCAGCTCGAAGACACTCGATGAGCGCCCGGACTTTGATTACAGTATGGAGCTTTTGACAGCTACAGATTGTGGATCTTCATTTGTCTTTTAATCGCTGTTTCTCGCACCGAGACAACGGAAATTCATTTTTAGTCTGCCAGAATTTACGGACAAAGATGAAGCGGACAAACTTGTGATTTTAGGACTCTCAAAACATATTTTCTGGGGAAATATTTGGATTTTGGACGTGATAAGGTGCGAACATCGTTCATTCTGAGACATTTATCCCTCGATTTGATTGTTTAGTCCATATTCCTGTTTGCAAGAAATATTTGCGACAGTGTATTTTCTTACTTAATTAAAGTTGTTGGGATAAGCAGAAAAAGTCCTCGCTGAGGTATATAAGCTCTCCTATCCCACTCTTTCTGACAGCGTCAAGCACCTGCCCTCTGCACTTTCGACTAACTCGTAGGGTTCACCCCTCGCATCCATTACATTCGTGCTTGCTCATACCTTATACCCAATAGCCGGCTTCACTTCCAAGGTATGCCGCTGACAGTATGTTCAAAGCCAACCTGTGAAGCTGAAAAATTAACTATCAGAACAATGTCAACCGAAGTTTCCGTCACAGGCCACATACCGCAAACAAAGTCTTTCACCATCACCAACAAGGCAAAAAAATTGACTGCCAAGGTGAACCACGACGAGACAGACACCGACACATCGGTGGATGCCAACCATACAGTAACGTTCCACCAGGAGGGAAAATACACCGTCTCTGTCAATAACATCGACACGATCACCGTCCGGTTCTTGGATGGAAATATCTCGATCAAAAAGGGGAAAGAGAGTGAAAACCATGTTAATTTCGTGGTTTCCGCGAATGTGAGCTGAAGCGAGAACTTACACACCGCAGCTGTATGTCTGATTGTTGCATCTCGCAATATCCTTGTCGCTAACTCTCTTTTCTTTCAGTGTCATCAGCCGGCACTACCTTTCCTACACATCCATTGATATTCAACAACATTAAATCTTCAAAAAAAAAAAACAATCCCATCTCTATTCTCTCATTTTTTACCTATCGCGTTTGTCTTCTTTTCCCTCCTGAATTCAACTTCAAGTCTCTACCCGGTTCCGTGTCTCGTTTGCGTTCAACCGCAATATCCCGATTCTTATATTCATTTACTACGTACCATGGGTCATGGACTTTGCTTTTCGTAGCTAGGAACAATTCATGTCGTATTCATTTAGTTTGTTTGAAATTGTAGTATGTCGTATTGCTGTCTTTTCGATGCCAACCCTGAGTTTTTTGCTCGTACGATGGACAGTTTTTAGGGCAGAGCGAACACGAGTCATATATCAACCGTCGTTCATTGGCAAAGAGCAGCTTCTTTGTTTCTCTGGCTGGGACTTTGTAGCATTGGTGGTTGTATTAGTACCGGCCCAAGGTCCCACCGTTGGTGTTGAAAGATATGAGTAGGCAATCCTACACCGTGGGAACAATTACTATTCTGAAACCTGCGTTGGGTCGTTCCTCGTTGGGACTCCGTCATGCCGACACCAACACTAAATGGTGGTTCAATGGCGAGAGGCATCCTCGTGGGGGGACTGTGGCGTCGTGATGCCCTTCTCAAACTAGCCCCTACTCTGTCTGACTCTTTCGCTATTCAGATATACCTTGAAAGTGGTGAGGCTCATCGTCGTTCCGCTCACTCTGTGTGTACTAGTCATGACTCCAAATGCACATGCGCTCTAACCCTTGGAGCTCCTGCATATCATGTTGAATCATTGCACTTTCAACGTGTTCTTATCCGCCGATGGAGAATGGACTACTACGATGCGACCCGCAATCAAGACAAAAATGACATTCGACACGTGAATGAATGAAAACCTGTACGTCTATACATGGATTCAACATTCAATGAAGTTAGCGCTGGCTCTTCCTACTGCAAATGAGTATGACTACGATCCAACTCGAGTGTTGCTTGTTGCATCGATGGTATAGTTGTTTATCGCATACATCTAACGAAGTGTCTTGGTACTACGTACAGAAGGTGCCCAGTTCGAATCTGGGTCGACTCATATCGAAGTACTTGAATCCATTTTGCTCAGCAGGCGAGCAACTTGTCAAGGTCGAAGTCGGACGCATTGCAATCATCAATGTATTTTAAGTTAACTTCTAACTTCTCGGCTGGTTGATCGTTTTGTTCAGTTCGGTTCTTCAAAGTTCGAACACTCAATTACAACGAAGACTCGACTCTCGAGTTTCAACTTTTTAACTTGTTGAATTTCGGCCCGGGGGCCGGGGCCTGAGGGGTGCGCACAATGCCTGCCACTCGCACCTGCATTCAAGTCCGCGATCTGCTTGTCGCATCAATTCCTAGTTGGAACCTCTCTAAATGCCTGAACCTCTCGCACTTCCGTGAGTCGATGGTACAGCTGCTCCAAGGTCGCTGACTCCCAGTTCGAACCTGGGTTAGCTCAATAATCTGATGTGATACTCGTGATTTTTGGCCCTGTGTGGTCCCAATCGCTCGCTCCACCTCCACCGTGAGGCAGCCAAAGCACATTTTGTATGCGCCGGGGAAAGACTCCCCTCTTCACTTACTTACGCACTTCTGGATCGAGGGTGCTTCTCATCCAGCTGCGGGTCCCTTATTCGATTATGAGTCGATGGTGCAGCTGCTTGTCGCGCGCACTTATCATCAGCTCGAACCTGGTTCGACTCAATTGGGTGTTCCAAACTTTCTTTTTGACGTCAGTTTGGAGCAATAACCTTTACCAAAGCCTCAGAAGTGAGTGTTCTGATGTAGGTGTGCACGCACAGAAGTTATCCAGTGCACGGTGTTCACGAGCACAGTTCTGCCGTTTTCGATGTATGCCGCATTAATCGCCGACTCGTCCGTGGAATTGTTGCCATCCAGTCTGATGCTTGTCCTCTATTACACCTATGATACAGTACGATACATATCCTCGTAGTAAACCAGTTACTATCTATCCGTGACGTTCATAAAAAAATAATAACGGGGCATCATGAAGTGGCAGCTGCAGCAGCAACGAGAGTGATTATCGTAGCCGCAGAGGAGGAAGCCACATCCGCGTCAGTGGCACTGACAGCCGGGGAGGCGGTGATGACAGAGCCACCAGCCACGCCCGTCAAGCTCGCGAGAAGACTCGAGGCCTCGTCGGGGGAGAGCGTCGTCGTGACAGGCACCTCTGTGCTCACGAACACCGTCGCAGTAGGAGTGAGGGTCACAGTCACGGTGACGACTCCGCTATCGTCGACGGACGTGCCAGACGCGGTATCCGTGGAGTTGGCACTCGTCGTGGAATTGGACGTGGACGTGGACGTGTTGGTGCCATTGCCAAAGATGCCGCCGGTCGCGCCCGTAGCGTCGATCACGGATATCGCGTCCTTCTCGCTCGTGCACTGCAAGAACTAGACACTCAAAGTCAGCCCGAGGTACTCGATGAACGAAGACAAGCCACGCACAGTCCCGTTGCCCCGCACGGACGGGAGGGCAAAACACTGCGCCGAACCCGAGCAGGGCGACGTCGCCCACTGGTTACCCGCACACTGTGCCACGTCGCTGGATATACACGCTACTTCGCCCGCTAGAAGAACAAGCATGAGTACGCAAGAACACCGCGAGGGGGGAAGAGACACACTAGAGCAGGTATCATTGACGGAGAGGCTCTGGAAGGCGACGTTCTGGGACTGGGCAGCCTGGCCGTTCGCGAGGAGGGCGGAGGCGTCGAGGGAGGCTGTGGGCGCACCGCGCGCGGAGAAGAAAAGAGCGGAAATGAAGAGAATGGAGGAAAGCATCACGGACAAGGAGCACCAGGCTGGATGGAAGAAAAAGAAGGGGTGGAGAGCATTGCGTGCGGCGAGGTTTTTATATGTGCCATACGAGAACAATAAACAAAAGAGTACAAGGACCTCTTTGTTCCCTTGGCAGGGTGACGTACTTTTCGGCAAAAGCCGGTCAAAGCGACTTGCTAAAAACAAGTCCTTGTCCACAGGAAGAGCAAGGGTACCTGCCCAAGGTTCCACAAACTAACTGGTAGTCTGTAGAACTATTGAGATAGTCCCAAAGATCAAGAAAGCCGGCCATCCAGATTCCAGAACCAAAATCCGAGGTGTAAGTGTCGATTATCAAACTTTAAGTAGCTAGTTCAAAAAAGACAAACGGCGAGTAATGGAGCATGAGTCGACCCAGGTTCGAACTGAGGACCTTCTGTGCACATCATACAAACCACATATGTTAGACAGATGCGATAACCAGCTACGCCATCGACCCCTTACAGGAGTGATTTGGGCACTTTGAGTATATCAAGGAAAAACTCGATATTGACATTGGTATGCACTACACTAATACAACATCGATGAAAGGCATAGGAAGGGTAATCGACGCTAAGCAGATACACGTTAGCATCATCAAAAATTAACACTCAGCAGACCAAGCCTACCAGAACGCGTCGAGCAGAGTCCCCCAACGCTCTCCGAGTCCTCATGCGCGCGTTTACTCACTGCAAACCCACCAATCAGCGTTCCGGCACCCACATACATACGAGCGGACTTACAGGAGGGACAAGGTGATGTCGCCGTTGACCTTGGCCTGAATGGCGATCTCGACTTCGAGGTTGAGGTCGAGGCGCAGCTTCACGGATGCTGGGGGTGCGGGGGCACGCTCGGAGCGGCCGACGATTTGTCCACCGAGGACGGAAGAAGACTGAGTAGGTGCGAATTGGGTTTGTGGGGCAGACATTGTTTGTGCTGGAGAGGGAGCTGAGGTACGGGGTCTTATACGCGGAGCAATGGCGCGATTATTGGGTTAGGACGACCATGGACCCGGGGTTGGAGCAACGTTATGATTGGGCGATGGTGCGCGGTGCATTTAGCAACTCGGGTGCCTCGTCGTCGCATTAGATGAGAAGAGAAGACTGCGTAGAGAGGTCCGGGTTAAATTCGCGGGTTGTCATTGCAAAACACGTTCGAGGTGCGGGCACCCGGGTACCTCTTGGGTCGCCTTCTCGGACGCTTGTGCTCCATTTGGAGGTGGAGCGACAGACGGGAGCTGCCTTGTCGTAAACAGCCTAGAAGTGGGGCTCCTTCGAGAAAAAAAAAAACTGCGAGTGGTACCGGTCATGGGAGGAAGAGAGAGGCTCGACTCTTGGGTTCCCACGAATGTATACATTTGAGTCCCGCGACATCAAAAACGAGGCAGAGTTGCAAGCTTCCATGTATATTCAAATGAAAATTCAGTGGTTACAGTGTACACGAGCATTCTCGGGTGTTAATCCAACTCGCCGAGTACCCCGCAATGAGACCCAGCTAATATATAAGATGGCCCACCTTCACCATTCTCTCCAGCATCACCATGTCTGCCCCACAAACCCAATACGCACCTACCCAGAACTCCTCCGTCCTTGGTGGACAAATCGTCGGCCGCTCTGAGCGCCAGGCTGTTGCCCCTCCCGCAGCTTTGAAGTTGCGCCTTGACCTTAACCTCGAAGTCGAGATTGCCATCCAGGCAAAGGTCAACGGTGACATCACCTTGTCCCTCCTGTAAGTGTATTGCTTCGTGTGGTCGCGTCGGAGGGCTGACTGGGGTTTGCAGTGAGTAAATGTGCTACGCGCATTGGGAGATGGAGTCGGCGCGTAGTTGTCCGTTCGGGGTGAGCGTTGTCTATTGACGTGTTCGTGGTTTTGTGCTGACGCTTGTTAGGGCACCGTACCGGTTACATTCCTCTCGTCCTTGGTTGGCAGTGTATTAGTGTCTACACCTATTAGCTACGAATGTCACTGTTGTTCTGGGATTATGCAATTGAGATTTTACCAGCAAAAACGCGTGTGTTCCAATCTCTGAGGTGGTAAATTTGTCGACTAGAGGTGTCAGGGATTTTCACCCTGGTAGGGCAGGAGTGACTTGGTGCGGCAATTCCCGGCGTGTTTCTCTCCCGCACCACGTTCTACCTCTCGCTTCTCCCTTCGCACTACTCTACACGCTGTGGTGCCAGCATGTTTGGTGTTACCATGATTCCAGTCAGGTTTGCTTCCTCGTTATCATCACGTATGCGATGCACTCCTACGACTCCATTCCTTGACGGACCTCGATGACAAGTGGGAACCGTTCACAACCATCAGGAAATTTACCAATCGTCGCCTCCGCACTGTGTCGTTTCCTCGCTGCTCCAACGTCTCCATGCAAGGCCCGGGGACGGTCCGCTCCGACGCGCTCATCATCCGCTCTCAAAAACCTGCCAGACCGCCTCCGTCTCTACGTCCCTAATTCGATCCAAGCTCGACTCGTGTTTACCAGCCACCGTCACACCTTGACCTCGCAATTTCCCTGACCCGGGCACAGTATTTGGGCTTGAGCTGTTTGCTAGTCGTCGCCACGACCCCACATGCGCCTGCCACGTCGTTGTGCGCGCTCTCCTCCCTGCTAGCCTCCAATGCCTGCGCGTTCGTGTTTGTAAATGACTCAGACTGTCGAATATAACGCGACAATATGTTCGTCCGCCACAACAACCGCAACACGCCCGTCCCTCCTTCCTTAGATCGACTATGCAAACCAGACCATGACGAGAGGTAGCTTCAGAGCAGTTCACGAAAGCCTCGACTTCACAACCACCACTCGCTCCTCCCGCACAGGCTTCCTCCGGTGACACACTCTCCCTATCTCTCTCCATCCCTACGTCATAATCGCTGTTTGAAAGATGACAAGCTCACATTCGATACTCTTGCATAAACGGATCTGACACTTGCTTATTGGTCCTCTTCTGGGTTATCGTCATCAGATGGCAGGTGCAGGATTCGCCTACTGCAGAGAGGATGTATACGGTGGGGGCCCTGTGCTGTGCTAGGAGAGTTTCCATAACTCACAGTTGTTCCAATTTTGTAAATTTAATACATAACCCACTAGCTTCTACGCCATTTCCCATACTTTGCGTCGTCTCTCTCGACGCCGCATCCATCTCCACACCGTTATTCTTTACCCAGAACGCCTCCACTCGCAGATAATTTGGCGTAGTCCTCGGGATGTTAAGGAAGTTGGCTATCGCTTCTGTCCTCAGTTCGATTCTGGGTCGACTCATGATGCTGTTTGAACGGCGTTTGTTTTCTGCCCACCTCCCCCCGGGTTTTTATGTCTTATATCCGAGAGGCTTTTCCCTTTCCCCAGCGTATGCAATGGCTTTAGGGGTGGCCAGTTTCATCCAATGTTCTTCCTGTTTTGTTTTTTCTTCCCTTGAATGTAATACATGGCTTGTGCCCGCCCTTTCAACAATCCTGGTACACCCCACGTAATCTCTGTCTCTACCTCATTGAGGATCACAGACGAAGGGGAAAGTCCTTCGCACCGCGTTAGGGAGCTCCGTACTTGCATGAATCGAACTGTGCATGCACATCGATGGGCTTAATCAAGACGATCCTGGAACACCACTGATAGTTGTATCTCGCAAGGTACGAAAATTGTCGGTATAATGCAAGAGAGGATGGGGAGAGGGCAGCCGACGAAAGGGAACGATCCTCAAGCTGCCCGCCCCCGAATGTTTGGTTTAATTGCACCACGATGCATTCAGCAAATCGGGTGCCTCGTCGTAACCTAGAGAGGAGGGATTCGGATGCGACTGAAACTTCAGGTACGTAGTAGCGCTTTCTGCTATTTCATATTGCCAGTGTGGGTGTGTACCCCCATTCTGATACATATGACAGCATTTCTCCGTTGCGGGTCCTTCTGGCGGACGGGCTTTGCATCCATTTCTCCGTTCTTTGGGAACCGCGCCTTGTTCCGAAACTGTGGGGTTGCGGGTCCATGGCATGGAATTTTAGACTGAGAGAGGCTACCGGTGACCCTTCTTATCGCCCCGTCGCAATTTCTATCAACAAATCAAGCCTCGCGGGAGATGCTAGTGATTTTAGCCCGGTCCGGAGTCGCGCATACACCACGAGGCCAATCATAGACCGGTAAGCTAACTTAAAACTGAACGCATGGTCCCCAGAAACAACACTGATATTAACATCCCACAGGTACAAAAACGCTCGTAAAGCTGGTGGACGTACGGGTAAAGGAGAATATGGAGACAACGTTGTCGACTATTTTGGGATCATGCAATTGAGATTTAACTAACAACAATGCGCGCGTTCCAAGTTTTGAGGCCGTGAGTTCGTCGACTAGTTGTCAAGGATTGAGAGCATGGTAGTGCGAGAGTGACTTTGGGCGTCATTTCCCGATATGATTCCGCCCAGGTTTGCTTCCTCGCTATCATTACGCACTCCTATGGCTCCATTCCTTGACGGACATCGATGACAGGTGTGAACCGTTCGGGAGCATCAGGAGATTTGCGAGTCGTCGCCTCCGCACCGCGTCATTTCTTCGCTGCTTCAACGTCTCCATACAAGCCCCGGGACTAACGAGGCTGATGCAGACAGCCATCATATATTTTTTACTCTCTCCGTAGCGTCAAATCTAAGTACATATGAGGTGCTAAGGAAGGTCCGAATGTAGCGCTCAACATGTTGGTGTTGCATATGGGAGGAGGGAAATTGTAATTGGATCGCCAATCAGGCATATTTCCACCTCCCCCAGAATATATGTACGGCGGAAAGGAAATCTGCATGCGTACTCGGGTTTGCACCTCTGTATAAGTGAAACTATTAGACACGGAATAACTTGTAGATGAGGAAGCCGGTTTGTACATGATAGACTGCGCTCAACGACCATGCTGATGTCCCCATACACGTCGGTGTGGGGGAGCGAAGGGTCATGTAGAAGGATAGAGCACCACGTAAGGATGTTTCGCCAGTGCTCTACATTGATAAGGAATCAGGAAAGCCAGGGATAACTCAGAATGCTCCGTCAGGGTCGTTTGTCGTCGGTACGAGTGCGTACGCGTAGATTGAAGAAGCGTATACTCCGTAGCAATGACGACCTCTATCCGCTCTACCGTCGCTCCGGGTAACTGAGGCAAGTGCAGTTGAGGAAGCATAATAGGCTTCATGCAGAGAGCCGAGGTACCGTCGCGGAGAGAAGATAGCGGTCGAGAGACTACTTTTGATAAGGAGTACCGGGATATTTGCCCTCCATAATGCCGATACGAGTATTCATTGCCCTGCAGTGGTAGCGCGGGTCTGGATGGCTTTTGAGCATAGCAAGGAGAAAATATCTAACAGGTTACTTACGGGTAATGAGCTTCGTGTCCCATTCCTGCAGTTAAGGGGCCGACCTGCCCTATTGCCACGACCACGCTAATGGGGGAAATGTGAACCGGCGTGTCGCTTGAGATCTCCTCCCTT